TATTCTATACCTCATTTTTAATAAGTCATGTTATGCTCTGTATTAAGTTATCCAGTTATGTGATCGGTCCCAATGTATTTTGAGTTCCCTTAAGACAGATTTGCCTGGTTTTTACAGATCTCAGAGCTCCTTCCACTTACCTGGCTAATGTCTGACTAGTAGACCATGCTGAATACTATTGGCTTAATTAACTTGGGAAGGACCAAGTGAAAATGATGTTTTGATTAATGAATTAGGAGCGACTGATTAGTCATGTGGTATGACTGTGCTCAGGGAGATGAGAAGCATTTTAATTAGAAACACAGCCACAGCTATCTCTACAAAATAGGGAGATAGACAGTTAAAGGCCATTGGCAGTTATGAAAAGATTTAGGGATAAAGTATAAGATAGAAAGGGTTTTTAAGCTACAGACAAAATAATTCTTTGAAGATTTTCTGCCTGCAAATAATCCTTAAACCCTGTCTGCAATATTATAAAATAAGTGGTTGAAAAGCATTCCTGGGCAGAGGAAATAACTGCCCCCCCCATTACAGCTTATTTTTGAATTGATAAAGAATAAATAGTAATACCCAGAGGAAACTAGCATGTGTATGAATTTGTTGTGCTCCTTTTTGAACTCAGGAATCAGATTGTCCTTATGTAAATCACTGTAAAACAATCAATGCAAAAGTTTCAACTCTGTAATCGGCCAACAGTCAATTTAAGATTCCCATGTAAGTATCTGACTTAGTCAAGATGGATAAAGGAGCCAGATGGTGGTTCCCAGAATCCAGATTTTGCTTTTATACAGATTGCCACAATGGGAACTTTGGACATGGATTTTTAAATTTGAAAAATATATTGAAAAACTGAAAAGATGAAGAAAGGATGAATATCAAGTAAATCTGATCCAGTTATTTTAATTAACAGGGATGCATTAATTTTAAAATTATTTTCTGCTTACTTTGTCCATATACGGGTAGTATTTTTAATCACTCCCTATGAGTGATGAAATTTTTGTTTATTTGTCTTTGTTTTGTTTGATAAACTTGTCGGCTTTATCCTCTTTCTCCTCGTCATCCTTTGTTGCCTTTATGTTTTGGGGTTTTGGCATTTTGAATAGTTATTTTTAAATCATTGATACTGGATCTCACTTTCCTTCTTTGTAAAGAGGAGATTAGATTCAATAATTTTCACCGTGTCTTCAATATTTGGAATCCCATGACTCAGTGATTCTATAATTAATCATGACATCAGGCTTTTAAAACTTTTTAAAGGTTATTGAAAAGGAGGGATGGGAAGTTTTCAAAATTTTTTTCACAGTATCTTATAAATGCATGGTACAAATGTGAATTTGAATATTTTTAATGTTTCATAATAATATGAATTTTAATGTGATGACAAAAGTTGTGAGGGAATTGGCCAACAACTGTAGGGAGAGAGGGGCTATGATAAAGTGTGCCTAAAAACAAACCCCGCTTCCCCCAGTCCTGGAATGGTGCAGAAGATGGTAGTTCCTGTGACTCATTGTGTACCAGGAAGATGGAGTAGGGGAGGCAGGAGCCGTAGGGCCCCCGCCGTGCAGCAGGCAAGATGAAGCCCCATCTGGAGAAGGCTCTGCTGGAATGGCCCAGTAGCCACTGTCAAAGCGTCAGGTGACCCCTCTCTGAGGTTGTCCCTCAGAGGAGGTTGGGATAAAACTGAGCACTACTCTAAATAATCCAAGTGACAGAAAGAGACAAAGAGAAAGAGACACAAGAGAAGGAAAAGTGAGAAAGAGAGGTAGGGAGGGAGGGAATGCATGACGTAACTGAAGCAATTTAACCTACGTTAGCAATTAAAGACTGAAAAGTTCTAGAATATAAAAGTTTAATTATTTTAATCCTCGATTTGGTAATGGTTGTAACCACCAAATCCACTTTTAATGGAAAATCTATTAATTAATAGGATACAATTTAGGGAATGCTGGTCTAGGCAAGTAGAGAGCAGGTGTGGTAGAAAGGGATGTGAAACTTTCAATAAGATTGAAAACTATTTCAATCTTATGATTAGAGCAAATCTGTAGCCAAATAGTATCCACATTTTGGGGAATGTGTGCTACACACACTGACTCCTGCTCTTCTTATATGGTCCCCTCTCTCATCTTTACCTCTACAGATGCCTCCCTGTGCCGCACACAATATAAAATGTTTTACACTGGTCATTTACAGAGCACAGGTGTGTACTTTCCAATAGTTAATAAGAAAGTACTTTTAAGAGAAAGCAGAAATAAAAAATCAAGGCTAACCTAGCCCTTGGCAACGACAGGTGTTCTATGACGATTAAACTATCTGCTTCTTCTAGGTAATTTAACACAGTCTATATATGTGTATTAGGCAGCAGAAATATTTATCCAAACAAATCTCAAATGCTCCCAATAAAGTTCTTTGTTAATTGCTCTGGGTGCCCCATGCTTTAATGTGATTTTGGCCAGGAAGGACAGAGTTTATGAGTCCAACACCTTCACTTAGACCACATTGAATAAACTACGTACCTTTTTTTTACTTTTCTGCATGTGTGAAATGTGTTACTTAGTCGCTTAGAGTGTTGCTTCAATTTGTTAAGACTAATAAAATTATAGCAACTGATTGTTATACTCTGCATTTTCCATAGGTTTCTTTAACTCCCTTCTGTTAAGGCTTTTAAGCTTCACTGAATTTTAATACTTTAAGAATATTCTATTCTATGGGGGATGACAAAATAAAAAGAAGATGGTAGACTATGATTTGTTTATGAAATGCTGATGTGAAGGATTGTGTGGGGGAAACAAACTCTTGCAGAGAACAGTGTTTGTTAATGATCTGTAACACTCTCCGTCAGAATTCTACGGATAGATCAGCAAGAACTCTATTTTGACTCCCAAATACCTGGTTTTGACCAGAATAATAGGCAAGGAGTATGTCAAGAAAAGATATTCTTTGGATTACAAAATTTAACTGCACTGTTCATGGAGCTTGAGATTTATTAAATAAATTACATACAAGATAATGAAGAGAACATTACCCCAGCCTTGAAGACATGCTGTTTTATTTTTTATCTGTATTTACTTAAGCCATTATCATAAACTTAATTCAATTTATTACATATTTTTTGCCCACTATATACTTTGATGAGTAGGTATACTAGATGAGATAAAGAGAAACAGTTGGATTAGAAACCATTATTTATCCAATCTGTATGGTTGAACACATCAACTATGGAATTGCTCTTTAAATCAGTTATCTCATTTCTTCTTTCGTCCCCAGACGGGGAATTATTTCAGTTACCTAGGGTTCGCTTGCTTGCTTGTCATCAAAAAAGAGAAAGGTGCCAGGTCTGGTGATCACACCTGTAATTCCAGCTAATCAGGAGGCTGATGCAGGAGGATCACTTGGGCCTAAGAGTTCAAGTCTGCAGTGAGCTAAGATCACACCAATGCACTCCAGCCTGGGCAACACAGCAAGATTCTGTCTCTTGGGGCTGGGGGAAGAAAGGAAAAATGTCTTGCCTAAAGTTCAGCTTAGAACTGAAGAAGAAAAATAGGAAACGTGGAGTGTCGGGAGGGAGCCCCAGTGGTCCTATGAAAGGACCCAAGTATTGTTTGCTTAATGAGTAAGCCTATTTTATGATGCCAACAGAACTTTTTCAAGTCTTTTGCATGGAACGTAAACTTCTACTTCAATCAAAACTAGCCAGAGAGCATCATTTAAACCCACTGCCCACTTTCTCACCAGGGTATGCCATTGCTTTCCCACCATACCTTGCCTTGGATTGCCTTCTTCTCCCTTTTCTGCTTATGCAAATATGCCCACTGGAAAGCGTTCCTGGACCATTCCATCAGGAAGAGAAAATTTCCTCTTAATTCGTATATTGCTTAGCTGCTAATACCAATGAGAAAGGTGCTTTGCAGAAAAAAAAATCCTGGACCATATATTCAAACATCTCAGCATTTATCATTTGCTAGCTGTGTAACCTTAGATAAATCTAGTGATCTTGTATAACTCCTCCTGTCCTCACCCTTCAAATAGAGTAAGTAACCTCTGTGCTACATCTCAAACATATTGTCAGGATACAATGATGCCATATTTGTGAAATGTTTTGTATGTGGTAATTGGTTACATTTAGGTAAGGTATGTGCATCGGTTCTGCTAAATTAAGCTATGACAATTTACATTCTGATGATCATAATATTCTTTCATGTGTTTTTCTTATTGCCTCAACCCAATTACAAAAGTAATATTTATCTTTTCTGATGGTGAATGTAATAAATGCTTATTATGGGAAATGTTGAAACTATACACAAATATAAAAATAGCATAATGTCATAACCAAGAAATAACCACTAAGCCAAGAAATAGCCACGCTCTTGTATTCTTAAATATGTGTTTATATGTATTTTTGTGTATCTTTGTAGGCTACTTTGCCCACTTATCAACATAACCTATGCATGTTCTCACTCCCCAGTTCTGTTTTTGCTTCCTCAGGGGCAGCCATAGTATTCTGACTTCAGTTGTGTCTCACTGAGCAAAAAGCCCTGTGCCTTGGCTATAATAAATGTTCACTATACGGGCTTTATTCGCAGAACGACTTAAAGCCCTCTGATGGTTTAAATATAACATTATGTGAAACAGAATTCCTGCCTTTAAAGATGACTGTGTTCTTATTGATGAAATGAAGCCACTGCATGTAACACTGACGTTCTTTCCCTTTTCCTTTCCCTTCGGTTTAGTTTGTTGCCCAGCCCAACTGTCAACAGCTGCTGGCATCTCGCTGGTACGACGAGTTTCCAGGCTGGAGGAGAAGACACTGGGCAGTGAAGATGGTGACATGTTTCATAATAGGACTTCTTTTTCCTGTCTTCTCTGTGTGCTACCTGATAGCTCCTAAAAGCCCACTGGGACTGTTCATAAGAAAGCCATTTATCAAGTTTATCTGCCACACAGCATCCTATTTGACTTTTTTGTTCCTGCTGCTGCTTGCCTCTCAGCACATCGACAGGTCAGACTTGAACAGGCAAGGTCCACCACCAACCATCGTCGAGTGGATGATATTACCGTGGGTCCTGGGTAAATGTGTTACTATAGAAAATATAATAAAAAAAAAACATGTTACTGCCATGGAATTGTGTTGCTCAGAAAATAATATCCATTAATGTTTGGGAAAGAGGACAGTTTAAAATAGGTTCTGACCATTGAAGCTTTTTGGCTTAATCCCCAAAGCTAAACAAATATTTTACAAGCTGCAGTGCACCTGCTCCCAAATGCAGCCTATAAAATGTAACAAATTTTAGAAGTCCAGATTTTAATGACTTTATATTCCACAAATGATTCTCTGAGGTTTTGTTTGTTTGTTTATTAAAGCTTTTCAAGATGTCACATTGGTCATATATAAATAATCATTCTAATTCCTCATGGATAAACCTTCTAAAAGAAAGTACAAATCATGCTGAAGAGGCTGGGTGCAGTGGCTCGTGCCCGATTACAGCACTTTGGGAGGCCAAGGTGCTGTAATTGCTTGAGTTTAGGAGTTTGAGGTTGCAGTGAGCTATGATGACGCCACTGCAATCTAGCTCTGGTGACAGAGTGAGACCCTGTCTCAAAAAAAATAAAAAATCACTCTGAAGAATTAATGATTCTATACATAAAGTAACTACAACCTTTTTTTAAAAAAAATCAATGCATTTAAATTTATCTTTTAATTCTATAGCAAGTCAAAATAATAGGAGATTAAACAAAAGGACATCCTCCATTCTCTTTGTATTCTTGTCATAGAAAGAAAATTACATCAGATCCGTAGCCAATCATCGTAAGGCAGAACACCTTACAGTAAATAGTGAAAACCTTGTTTTCCTTTCCTCTTGTTATTGTAGCCATGGTTAAAATTTACATTTTAATTATTCTTTCCTCTATCATACTGTGGTTTGCTGAAAAATCACATTTTCTCAATTTAGCTCATCATTTTGAATCCCTCTGGTATCATATCCATCTCGTCATTTAGCAATTAGAAAATATGTGACAAATTTCTTGATTCACAGTCTCAGATGATCAGTACCAAAACTGCTGAAGAGACTATAAAATGAGAACAAGGCAGAAAACAAAAGGGCAGCCTATCTGAATCTGAGATAGATGTATTTTCAATTTTGAACATTATAAAAACTGCTTTAAATACTGGCAACAAGAAAAGTTCATAGGGACAATATTTGATGTTTTACATATGTTGCTGGAAAGAAAACATTCTCAAGTGAACTTTAAAATAGGGTAGGTTCTCATTAATAAGAAGGCATAAAGTGTCATCTTGCTTAAATTAGAAAAAAAAATTAAATAATCTGTAAGTGCCCTTTGGAATAAAATAATTATGACATTGTAGTTTTCATTAAAGATAAAATGACCCTCATTTAAATTAAATATCCCTCATTAGGAATGTGTTCCTTAATGGAGCTTTCTTCATAGAAAAAATTTTTAGAAAAATTATTACAGAATTGTTTAGGAGGTTTAGTTTCCCATTATGGGTAACTTACATTGAATATCTAAAATTTCTGATGTCCCAAATGAAATACAGAACATTTCATTTTAAAAAATATTATAAATTTAATACAGCACACGCAGATAAAGTATTTCTAATCTTTCCTTTGTACAATCAAGTGCTTTCTAAGTAGTAAAGCAAAATGCAGTGTGACAGTGATACAAAAGTAAAACAACAACAAATGAACAAACAAACAAAAAAGTCCTTGCCCTTATGAAGTTTAAATTTTACTGGAGAAAATGAGTAATAAACAAATCTATGTGATATAATGTCATAAGATGGCAAATAATACGAAAAAAGAAGATCCAAACTTGTACGATGAAAACAGTCATTGGCTGCCTGCTATACACTAGACTTGTAACAGAATATTTCATGAATGCTGGCTAGAAGGAACTACAGTCGACCCACAGATAAATGATTAAATAAGGTATAGATTTAATTGTGAGAATTATAATTCCAGCTGAGAAAAATATCTGCTAAAGGTAACATTTTCTCAAGGTGTCCTGACTGCAGGGAGTTAATTTATGTGAACATTTTTAGGATGAAAAGAGATTTCCTGGAATCAAAAATAAATTCATGTGAATGATCATTTTGCTTAAATAACAGGGCATGAGAAAAGAGTGTTTGTATATCAGATAGATTTGTCAAAGCAGTTATATTGTTCATTAAGTCTGGTGAATTGTGAGTGCCTTGTGTCTAAGTGCGAGTTCTAGGTGCTTCTCTGGATCCATGATTATGATGAGTGTACTCTATGCTATTGGGCCATTGTGGGGAAAGCCCTGGACTTGAATGCATGCACCTCTCTGGATTTTCAGTGTCTTCATCTATAAAATGAAAGATTTAGAGTGGATGACATCTGAAGTCCCACTGAATTCTATTATCTTATCCTGTCTTCTGAGCTACCATTATTAAGTCAGAGAAAATTTATCTTTTTTGGATGGGGGGGGGTCGGGTGCAGGGAGGAGAGGAAGGTTAAAGACATCAAGGTAGAAATGCTTTAATCTTTTTCCAAAAGTGTGATATAGATGAAAAGGCATGGTCTGATTCAATGACTATATTAATGAATCTTCTATATTTTCTTACCAAGTCCTGTCCTCTGCTAAAGTAAGTAGCCACAAATCCATTAGCAGGACATTTCATAATTCATCCATTGCAAGGTTCTAGATTTATAATAACAAGACTGAACAACTTATGGAAATGAAGTGGCTTATAAGTGTGTCTCCCATTGTGTTAATTGTCCCAAAGAGAGATTAGAACTTTGCTTATGGGTTTTTCTCAAATCTTCTTGAACTGACTTAGATTTTCAACCCATATCACCTCTGTAAGCTACCCGTTGTGTAAAGTAGTACTCTTTAATTTGCACTAAATTTACTTTTCTATCATTTTCAGGGGTGTTCCCAGACTTATACCTTAAGCTATGAGTAATGCTCACTTTGATACCTCTCATTTTATCCCAAGAAAAAGACTCTTTATTTTTTATATTTATATCCTAAATTTTCACTTTTTCTGAATATAAAAGTGCTCTAACTTTAAAGACTTCCAAATCAACCTCTTTTTCTTAAGAAGTGTGTTTTTTCTTGGGAATTTCTGTTGTTTTATATTCTTTGCTATATTTCAGCAATAAGAACTGTATTTAGCCTCATACCTAGATCCAGTTATCCTGTGATTTAGTGCAACGACAAAATGTTTCTATGTTATTTTCAACATCTTTCCAGTTCAACATTTTGTTGACTATTTAAACTGAAATCTATTGTGTTTTATATCTTTAGAAAGCAGTTCACAATGGCTCTTCTATTCTTGTGCTGTGGTATCATTGATAAGTTGTAACTTATCATCCTGAAAAGCTTTTGGAAATTTTTCGACTTTACATTTGCTTGTATTGAAGGTCATCAACCCTCTTTTCTCTCATCAGACAGCCTCAAGAGTTCTTCTTGCAGATCTTTGCTGTCAGGATGAACTTTAGCATATGAGAAAGACATCTAAGAGCCTCATACAGGGATCAAATTTAGGATTTTGGTTATTGTGATGTATAGTTCTTACCAGTGGAGAAAATTAAGCATGAACAATTCTGTTAGAACTCTCTCAATAGATAGGTAAATTCCAGACAGACAGACACCAACATCCTTCTCAGACTGTCAAATCACCCATTTTAGCTAGAGTAGAAAGTAAAACAATAGTTTGATCAAGCACTCCTATGGGCCTGATAACAGAGCTATACTTTTCAGGTGTCTGGAGACACAGTGTCATTGGAAAGACTCAAAGAGGGGTTGGAAGGAGCCGGGGGCTGGAAGATCAGAGACCTTTATGTTCTGAAGCTCTTAACTTATTCAGAGTTTGATATTTAACATAAAATACTGGGAATATGAAATGAATAGAATATTCATATGAGAAATTTCTTTTTACAAAAACTTAACATGCAAACTAAATAAAGCATGTTATATGTGTAGTGTACATTATAAGAATTCATCTAAATTATAGCAGCAGTCCACAATCACGTGCCATTTGTTTCTGGATATATAGGGGAGTAAAATAGGGAAGAAAAAAATAAAAACCTTTGGATGCTAGTGTTCCTGCCTTCCCAAAACCCAGTTTGAATTTTTCCTCAGAATCCATTATAACTCCATTGCAACAAACTTGTGTTATGACTTAATCCACTTGCACAAAAAAGTGTGCATATATAGAACGCAGACTTATTTCGTCAGCTTAGCAAAAAATTATGAAATTGATAACGTTTCATAAAATTAGTAGAACTTTGATGAAGGCTGTCATATTACTAAAGCAGGAAATAACTTTGCTCCTGTAAGAACACAATAGGGCTGCTGAAATGACTTGGCATTGCGGGCATGGCTGAGAATATGCCACCGTTAACCAGTATGTAAATCTGTGCACGCTGAGCATGATGATGAGAAGGGTGAACTGAGGAAAAGATGTGCCATAGGAGGAGATCGACGCTCTGTTAAAAATAGCTTCTATTGAATTCCTAGGCATAAAGTAAGAATCGCTCATAATATCCAGATTATACATCTTGCTTGTGACACAGACTTACTTAGCAATTTTTCTGTAACAGAATTGGTCCCTCATTTCCATGATTTATTTTATATGGGTATGTTTTAAAAGGTTGATATTAACAAGTTTGAACATTTCAACAAGACCTGCCAAATTGAAGATGTAAAATAAAAAATGATGATCACATTCTCATCTAAAGACTAACAGTCCCATACAAATATATTCTTCCTTTCTTGTGACCACTTCATCTTTTGTCTGAAGTCATTAAGCTCACAGGGCTTCAGGTACTCATACTCTCAGCCCTGAATTAACTATTCCCTCAAGTATTCCCCCCAAAGATATCCTTGCAATTATGAGAAACAAGCCTATAGCTTTCCCCACTTCCCTCCTCGGCAAGGTATCCAGATAATCTCAGCAAACTAACTGCAGGCACATACAGACAAACACGGCTGCAGAATGCTCATTTACTAATTTTAAATGAATATTTTAATTTTTGAGTAAATCAGATAATCATAACAGTATGACATATGATCCTCATTTTCCTTTTTAT